CATGTGACTGCAGGCCAGTACACAAATAACAAAAATTTACTTGGGGAGGTGCTACCAGTTTTGAGTCTGATAAAAGAGATTACTCATACCAATACTTAAGATACAAGCTTAAAAAATTCCATACTGCCTGACAACCTGTCAATACAATACTAGAGGAAGCGTGGGCCTGATTACTTCTTAAGGTCAAACTGGCAGTCTCCTCACAGGGACGGCGAAGCTGGGGGCGGGAGGGGGGGGGCTTTAGCCTTCCCCCCCAAATTCAAGCAAAAATACATAAAATAACAATTTTACAATAACTGTCTAATTTCTCGCACACTGCTCATGTTTATCATCAACAAGAGTACAGACGGATATAATTTAAATTTATGCAAACTTTCACCAGTTCAATTTTCAGCTGTTGAACGGTCAACTTTTCAACCAAAGGAATTTTATTGACTTTTTTAAGCAGCCAATTAAAAAGCAAGAAAAGCTATTGACAATATGCGCGTCATTTTAAATAAAATTCATTCATCTTTGTTTATGGCAAGTTTATGGCATCTTTTCCCTCATTTATTCCCGGCATTTGAACATTTTGGGGTCTTGTTACTGTAAAAAACAAATTTACATCAGTTTTTATGCATCTGTCCTCTTACTGATGATAAATTGCATCATAACATTGGCAAAGTTTACTGCGGAACCACTCACCTGCAGCTTGTGGTTCCACAGCCAGTTTGACAATGTTATGATGCAATTTATCATCAATAAGAGGACAGACGTATAAAAAAGGAATGTCAATTTGTTAATTTTACAAATATCTCCAGACCCCTATGAGTTAGTGACTCTGGCACTTGCTTATAAGCTTCCACCCCCTCCAATTCAAAATATGCTCTGCCATCCCCGCCTCATAGACACCACTTTATCTTTTTGTGTCCCAGAGAAACCAGAATTTGGGTAATTTTACCTCAAATTATAATGTGTGGACACCTCCACAATACAGAGAACTTTCTGTCTTTTTGGTGCCCATGCTAGAGGTTTCTTTTTACTTGGTTATGCCCATCAAAGTCAGTTCACAGATATCTGTCAGCAGCATGGAAATTTTCAGCCAAAATTTCTGAGACCTCTCTACTGGGGGAAATAAACAAGCAGCAAAAAAGAGATTTCTATCTCTCATGCTATCTTTGTCTTTAAAATTGGATCCTGTACTCTTGTTTTATCAGCTGACAGTTTAACAGCTCAGGTTAGGCAATAGAAACCAAGACTAATCATGTTATCACTGTCATAGCAAAACCAGTCTTGTTGGATCTATACCCATGTTTCATGATCATGTGCTTTGACAAAACTTTCCTGTCTTGGTTTCTAATGAATGACCTTTGAATGTGTACGTCTAGCTGAGAAAACCTTAGACTACTGAAAGGCTAATAGCCTATTTTACAGTTCTGTGTCAAGTGGTCGAGCCTTTGAACAGATGCAAGACCGGAGTTGACTTTGTTTGATATAAACTTTGCTACTTTGCAAATATAAATTAATCTGTTATCATACTAATTAGAAATGAAGAAAAAATGAATACTTTATTGAACCTCCCCAATGGGGCTTTTCAGGAACAATTTCTTATCTCTATCACCACAAAGCCAACCCAAACCTTGCCTCCATGCAAAGGCTAGGTCACATTCCAC